TGATTTCAGACGTAACAGGCTTAATAGACAGGTTAAACACACAAAAAATTGAATGATAACTGCACTTTACTCGTTGAGAGATAACAGAATAGTTGTTAAAATAGTTAGTGGTTGGGGATCTTAGAAAGAGAAATGATTCTCTTGAGGCGCGTTACTGATCAGTTATTTCTTTAACTTTCTCAGGTCCGTGGTCAAAGGCTCGTGTACAAGTTTAACAAACTTCCATATCGATACGAGCCTGGTGTAACAAGATCTCAACATCAATTAAAGAAGATAAATAAAAGCAACACCGAAGAACAACATCAAGCACCATCTCCTCAGACAGTCACTGTGCCATCGCCTGTACCTTCAGCTTTCCTTCCACCAAGTCCAACAAGTCCCATTAGCCCCGTTATTACCCCACTCAGTAAAGATTGGTCATGGCCAGTTGTTCCCGTGCCTACTCGGCCGATGTTGTGGTATCAAGGCTCCTCGCTTCTTAAACCATCAGCAATCCTCATTGGTAGAAGCAGGATTATGGTTCCGGTCATGGATCCGTTGACGTCACTTCCATTAGGTTTTAAACCAATTCAGCCTACACCTTTTAATACGTCAATACCAGTTTCAGTTATTCAGCGCACCATGTAAAGACATATTGTGCTGGAAAGCTCTCCCAGATTCTGTTATTCGAGTAGAAACTCGGTGCCACGGCCCTTCTCTCTTGTATCAACAAAGAGTGAAGGCAAGAAGACAAATCATAGTAACCGTAGTGAACATTTCTTTGTACATAGACAATAAACTTACTCGAAATGTGTATATAATGTTGTATGTAAATAAAAGGAAGGTTGTATGAAAAACTGCTTTTGAAAAACAATTTTATTGTTTCCTGTATCATCTCCTGGTCTCAACGCTTACTTCACCCTCCAAAGCGATAGCGTATGATCACCCGATTTCAGAGCAACTAAAAAAATCCGGGGCAGAATGTTATTTCAATATACTTCCAATCTCATGCATTGAAAAAATTGAACCGGTGTAAAATCTCTATCTTAAACAACCAACATCATCCACAACATCTACGGAAACAGCTCGCTCTGCGTGTGCACAATGTCAGCCATGGTAAAATCTTGATCAGTTGACGCCTCACATGAAGTCCGATTGCTGATGTCAGTTCGCCAAAGGTCAGAGCACATGAAAAGATGGAGGGATGAGCCTCGATGAAAATCTTGATCAAAGGGTGTTCATTTGTGTAATAGTACAATACCCTATGACGTGCATTGAACGGTTCAGTGCACTTCATTTCTCATTGGTTGGGGAACACATTTGTATCATAACTTCCCAAGTAATCAACTATACTTTATATAAATTTATAAGTGCACCTAGTGTAAGAGGGATTGTTCAACTTGAGTTCTTCATCAAGTCGTTATAATTAACACTGTTAACTGTTAAGTTTTAGACCTGATATTCTAAAAGCTTTGAAGAGTTTGCTAGCTTTTACGTTCATTTCAGTTCCTGTCAGAAAAGTGGGATCAAATTCGCAATTCTGAGGGGGGAAAAGTGAGAGAGAATACGAGCCGAAATGGAGGGAAGGAAGCAAGGAGATTAGGATGTTATGACAGACTCGATATTGAAAAGAGTTATGACTAAAAAGTCAGGAGGGGGGATGAAACCTAGTTTCATAATATGGGTACGACGTATCAGCTATCTGATAATATAAAACGAAAAATCAAGAGTAATTTTCATGGTTCTGCCGCTGACAACATCGCTCTGTTTTGATTCTCCTTCTGTTATCCTTCAACGAATGCAAATTATCAACCACAAGTCAAAATCATGATTAATTTCATTTATTGTGATCAGTGATTATGAGATTCCTTTACGAGAAAGGACACCTTCTAGACCTTGTCTTGCTACCAAAAGTTGACCGCGAAACTCAGTTGGTTCGAGTGTCCAACCTCATGTAGTATCTGGGAGGCATGTGTTCGAATATCGTCGAAGCCTGAATTTATCCACTCTTTTAGATCGTTTCTTCACTTTCTTTAATCGCAGCTCAAGTGCGAGGGCGGGTTATTTCTTTACTTTTATAAAGAGCTTATTAAAACCAAGTATGGAACTACTTCCTTTGAAGATAATTTTCATCTTCCGCTAATCAGCGCGGTACGAAATGTTGATGATTGATCATGATTGTTCACATGGATTAGCGAGCCTTTGCGGTGACGGGAGAAGGTCAATATGCAAGAATCAAAATACGTTCTTCCTCTTACGTGAACATCGAAAATAGCAGATCGGAAGCCGCAAGTGGTTTTATTAATGTTTTTGTCTTTCGTTTTCTTTTCTCGGGGATGATTGCGGACGTCTGTTAGAGGAATAATTCTTAAATCCGTAGTTATTAAAGTAAATTTTCAAGTTTTCTTTGTGTTGTCAATTACTAATGACTTACGATCTCGTAAGAACTTTATTTACTTTTCTTTCAAAGTCAGAATCTTTAAAATATTTTAAAGTAAGGAAACTACTCAATCAATCGATTACTCTGTAGCGCTGTTTATGTTAACAGAAGCTAAGCTGTTCCGAGAGACCATCTTCAAGAAAACCTTTTAAAACTTAGTAATTGATTTGTCGAGTTGCTGGCGAAGCGAAACACGAGAGCCGGTTCCTCAAGGCATTCCGATATTCGACCTGACCATGTTTCGCCATTTTGCAAAGGTTTCTTTAAATCTTGTTTTCATATTTCATAGCTTTCTTTGAATATTTTTATTCGTGGATGTAGATGGAAGATCAATCGGCTGTGACTGCAAAAGGGGCCACACAAGTCACAAAAATACTATTAATAAACGGTAGTGAAAGAGGCCCTATAATGACTCGTAAGCGGCGGTAGACCGCCGATAACTGACTGTTATTAAAATCGCTATTATCTGATTTGAAATATCAAACGTGACGGCCGAACTGAAACATATCCCACAAGTATCCCTAAGTCGCAAATGTTATCCGTTTTAGGACTTTTCTCGTGCACGGAGACTCTTGAGCTAATAATTCTTGCATACATACATCGTTTTAAATACCAAACACGACAGGATTCCAAAGTGCAACTGATTTCACAGTTTCCCTTCCTTCGGAAATGTTATCCGTCTTGAAACTTGTCCACGGGCGTGGAGACTCTCTGTAGCCAAAAATTCTAGCACGTACATCGATTAAGAATCTTAACAAGTTCTAAATATACGTCAACTGTTCTATTTTTACATCAGATCCCCCATTCAAGCGAGCACTATTCCAAAAATTGTCAAAACGGCCTGACGGATGAGACAAACGGGAACAGGTTTTAGCTGTATGTATTTGTCTAAGAGCTAACTTCATGAAAGGCCTCGTGGGTCCGACTTTTCGTCAAGATTATATTGCTTTGTATGACCTGAGATCATTTTTTATAAGTAGTCATCCAAATATTAGCATCTTCATTGCAATTACTGTATTCAACGAAAACCGTTGATGGATCACCTAAAATAACGTGAATTATTCAAGTTCAGAACTAGCTGGTGAAATACATGAAATGTTTATGATATTTGATAAAAATATTTATACAAGTGAATTTACTGGAAATTTTGGCAATATCGAAATTTGTTTCCTTTACTTAGTTTCGTTGTCCCGATCATTTATTTTGTACATTCGCAAGAAAAGATTTGTCTCACGCACCCAAATGGTCCAACCCTTCCTGACCTCAGCCACAGGAATCTGAAGTGCGCAATTATGGGTTCGGAAAAGGTCGCGAGAATTTCACGGCAAAATAAACACGCGACATATCTTTCATTACTGCATGGATGGCTCTATTAAAGATCAATTTTGTGCATTCTTTGATAAACCAGATAAACGCCAAAACATCTGTAGCCTGTGGTAGTTTTTTAGATATAAAAACCATACGCTCCAACGTAACTTCGGCATGTTGAATCTAACTCCTGTGCGATACCTTATTTATTTTGATTAATATGGGCAGTTCATCATTCCAGACGTACGTTATACGAGGATTCGTTACATAGGGGTTACAAAACTTTACTAATATCCTTTCAAAGGCAACCGTTTTCTGGATTGGTGAATAAAGGGGGTTGTTCCAGAAGAAACTGTGGTGCTGCGTCGGTGGGGGAGTATAACAAGATCATTTTGGGTTTATCAACTGAGTTTATAATGTAAACTGGCCACCGTAAAGGGTTTCCGAACGTTAGCCCTTCGTCAGAGCGAATGACGAAGGCTAACGCTCGAAACATCACCTTTGGTACTCTTTACGTTAGCCAATTTAAATTATCAACCCACTTCATAAAACCAAAATTATCTTTTTCAAGACTGACCGAAAACACTCGCTAGCTTGAACTGAAAAACGTCTTAACGGGATTCGAGTCAATTGACCTTGACGTCGAAATAGAGTTGCACCTCCATGAAACTCTACTTCATTGAGTGACAAGAACGCTTTCGTCTTCTCCTTATATCAAGTCCAGCAATACTGAATGAAATGTTTCGGTTCTTTGGATATAGATTGATTAGAGTCAAATTCAATACTTTGACACGAGAGAAAAGACAAATAGATTATTATGTAAATCTAACACTTGATTAGCTATGCCGCATGTCAGTGACATAGACGGACAAACAGACGTGTTCCCGTCTGTGAAAATGACCTCATAGCATTTATTAGTTTACCGCTAAATTACGTCATTGATTCATTTGTCCAACGACGCGTAAAACGCCATCAGTACAGCGCGATACACTTATGATATCAAAGCGTCAATCTCATTTATCTTTTCAAAATCCATAAGCTTTCAGTCCTGTCTTCCGCTTTATCAAGTTATTTTACCCAGTAACAATCAGACGGAACACAGTGCTTTTGAAACTTCCCCGGATATTGATAAGCGAGCACAATTTGCTTGAATTTTAAAATAAATTTTTTAATTGGATATTATTCCCAGAGTTGTTATTGCTGGAGAATATCAGAGAGCCGGTGGGTTCTTAAGATAAATATAGTCGTTTGTAGCGTGATAAGAATCTCATGAGAAAGTTTGAAGAAAACCTGTTGGTCCATCTCAGGGTAAAACCACAGTCTTTATTTATAGTAGTACTTCCGGTGAGCGCCAGGAACGACGTGACCAAACAACTTACGAACGAGTTTCATTCCTTAATGTTTTTTTTTCCTTTGCGGGTGCCTTCAATTTTGGAAACTAGATTAGACCAGAGCAGTGAGAGCCACTTCTCCTACTCTTTGCGAGAAGTGCGTGGGTTTTTTACAATCACCTGTTAACTAGTACAGAGAATTAAGATGCAACAGACATGGCTCAGAGTTTATTGTCCTAATTCCATATTTTATATCCCTCAGTTTTAAAAGTTGTTACACCAAGATGTCTGCCCTACAATCCGAAAAATTCGGTGTAAATGCATGATATTGCGAGTCAATCGTCCCTATTGCGCGTTATTGTGTCGATCCCACGCGTCGTTCGATATCCTAGCGTGAGTTTGTCTCAAACCCGCAACTTTTAATAGACTCCTTTCTTTATACATCGATGATAATGTAATATTATTCCACGCCCTTAAAATCGAATGATCATGTTTGATCTGCTTTGTTATGTCCACCGAAATTAACATTCATTATGGGATTTCAAGGTCGACTTGACTGAGATGTTTTTTTCAATCATCTAAACGTTGATAAACGCCTTACAAATCACGAACCAACATTATCAAGCCTTTTAGTCATACTGCAATATTTTTTTTAGCACAGCTTACATCCCCTAAAGCATCATCGAATGATTTTCCACATAAGGTGAGAATCCTTTAGATTTGAAGTGGAATACGTAGAGTAATAACAAAGTGCGACTGGCAACGTTCCATCGAAGGTTCAACTTCCTACTTCCTCAGGAGGACGTGCGTGAGCGCACGAGCAAAACAACTTACTGCAGGAAAACTAATATTATACTTTAGACTTGACTGGCTCCTTTGTTCCTATAACTGGTGATATCAAACTATGTCGGACACTTTTTAGAAGCACATATTGAGAAGCGATTTCACTGTGCTGCATCTTCATGTAAACTTTAATTGACCCTGGGAATTGAGCTTACACGCAAGGAATTTATCCAGAGACTTCTAGTCTCTGTTTTTCTTCTATAGCCATTCGAAATTCGATTCTAACCCTGAGTTATGAAAAAATATATGTTTGTAAAGAACCAAATGTTTCTAGTTGTTTTAAAATTTTTTTTGACGTATGCAAATTGGCTCAGTTCTAATCTGGCTAGGCTCTGGTTACAATCCAAACAAATACAACACTGCATCGAAGAATGTTTTGAACTTCCGTTGAACAGAACAGACTGGCGATCCAAGGAAGTGGTGAAATACGACATTTGGTCCAAATACTATCAGTTTGGGGGAGACACTGAGTCATTCAAAGCAGTTTCTGCAAGAGGAGCTGATGAAATCACAATAGAGGTAATTTTAATTTTATTTCTTAAAGCGCAATTCCGTCTCGATCTTTCTAGAAGTTCTTAAGCCTGAGGAAAACCAAATACGCCTTGCAAATTGCATTGTTCAATTAACTCTCTAATGTGATAAAAAGAAAGGAAAAAAGATATGGAAAGTAGTATTTTGCAAGAGCTTTATGACCCGCTATTTTCTTCGCCAGCGAATTCAAGTCGCTTTGTGACCGCTTGAATAGTAAGTTTACCCATAGGGTATTTCGATCGTACGTGATGACACCCATAGTGACAGCTTGTAGAAAGTTCAATGCATATCATTTTGAACTTCACGTGCTTTGTCTTTTGAATTTGAAAGGAAATTGCTAGTTGGCAACGTTATTACTACACTTCCTTTAGAACCCAACAGCTTTTTAATTTGCAGGTTCAGTTGAACTGTGCGAAAGGAATATTCTGTGTAGCTGCTTGGAGTAAGCTGCAACGTGGTAAATATCCTGTGAACTTTCTTACATATCGGATTAGCTTAACTTAAGTAACGAGTTTGAAAGGACGCTTGTTTCTGGGTTATCATCCTGATTCACTGTTGTTGAAATTACCTCAATCTATCTCGCAGAGAAACCTTATTCAGAGGCCGAACCACTTCGCCAAAAGAATATGACTCAACTGGGACAGCATGTGAGAACCAAAAGGTACCAAGTAGTCTGTACAAGGCGAAGAAAAGTTCACGGGGACTTTAAACTGAGATATCCTGAGAAAGTAGTGAAGAGAAAGAGGACGTCCAAACGAAGCAAAGACACTAAAGACGGTACGACTTGCGAGAAGATTGATCGAACCTTGAGGTTCTCTTATCAACAGAAAATCACACAAAAGGTGAGTCACTTAGAAAATTGTTCATTGTTACAAAACGAAGATAAATTTTCATCAACAGATATGACTAATAAATCCTTGTAAGCTCAACAGATTTGCACAACCTCTTAGCAATGAGAATATGATGAAACAGTCCCACAATTTCTTTTCAGTACAGCCATCAGAATACCATTTGAACAAACAACAATAAAGTTTTGAAATAACGAGAGCACTATATAGTTGTAAGAACGAGCTTTAACAGAGACTTTAATCGTGACGAAAATGGTGGAAAAGTTTCAAATATTTTGACTGGCATTTTGACAAGTGTGGCAACCTTTTTGGCTCAGGAAAATGCGGAGAAATAGGTTATAAACCTTAGATAAACATGGAGTTTTTTCCGGAGGCCACTGTTACCATAAGCGATTAATAAGAGAAGTTGAAGAGTCAAAATTAAGTAATTTGAGAAGCGTCCTTCCTCTACTGGGGAACAACTACTTTCTAATAAACATATGAAAGTTTCTGTGACCTAAACATTTCATTCAACCCTGCTTCTCCTCCAATAGAGGCGGAAAAAACGAACTTTTTCACTGATTCAACTGTATTATATTGTTCACGAAGGATTATTTGCTTTGTAAATGTATTGACCAATCAAATCATGTGATGTAGTCTAACAAATGTTGTGATTGGTTGAAAATGACATCTTTCATAAGACTTGTAAAGCATGCTGCGTGGCGTTACCTTCGACTCGTTCTGGAAACACATATAATTTGTTAACAACTTAAAACGAATAGGTGGCCCTCTATAACCTGTCCTAAGTACCAGAGGAATAAACACAAGCACTCGACCTACTAAAGAATTGTCTACCAGAAGTTCTGCGTATACTCTCTGAACCGCAGCAACCAACTCCTGAGGGAGTTTGTCACTTTAGTAAGCAATAGATTGTTGCAAATCAATTCAGAATCTTCGTGTGCAGCAATTATATATTTCCATAGTGAACTTGTGCAGTAATCAAGCAAAAAATTGCATGTGAGGCTTTCTAAATTACAGTGGCTTCTTTCAAGGGAAAGCAAAATCCCTCCCGATTCTGATAGATCAGTTATCGCTTCTCTTCAGCTCATTACTTACAGCCTCCAAAAAGAAAAAAGAGATAAGAATTTGTCTACAAAAAGTATAGCAATTATACGTGTTCACAAAACAAACAGGCAAGTCAAGTATGTTTACAGAAAGTACAGCAAAGAAACTGTTTCAAAATAGCCAGGAACCAAACTGTTTCATAAAAGGAGTGTAACAAATTTGATTACATAGGTACATTGTAAAGCAATCAAATCAATCAATCTTTCTAAAAATGTACAGCAGCCCAATTTGGTCACAAAATGTTTAGTAGCCAAACGCCTTTACATAAAGTATGACAAACAACCTAGTTTGACAAGAACAACAACCACAGTTGACAAAAAAACGTGAAGCAACCAGACTTGTTCAACGAAGGTAAAGCAACCTAAATTGTTTACAGAATGTGCAGAAACTAAGCTTGTTCAAATAAAGCACACTAACTAAACTTATTTTCAAAAAAATGCAACGACCAAACATGTTAACATAAATCATAGCAAACAAATCTATTCACTGCCCTGAAAAGTGCAACAAACCTGTTCAAAATAGCAACCAAACTTGTTTAAAATAGTAGTGCTCAAACTTTTCTACTGATAAGGCAATCAACAAAATCCTCTAAAAAAAATACAGCAGCCAAAGTCATCCACCAAAATAATGGCAGAAAAAGAATATAAATTTGCTCATAGAGAGCACAGATACAAGCACTCTTCCGCGTGTAAAAAGAACAATATCCAACTTAAAACGCGTTTGCAAAAAGTATATGCCTGTAAGAGAACGGCAATTACACTAGTAAGCGAAAATTGCAGTTTTCAAGCATATTTATAAAATGAATAGCAATCAGAATTGCTTCTTAGAGAGAAAGCAATCAAACTCATCTGCCAAAAAGGGTAGCAACCAAATGTGCTTACTAGCAAGACAGCATGACATTGTTTACAAAAAACATAGTAAGCAGCGTTACTTATAAAAATCACAGCAGAAAAACCTCTTCTTTTGAGACAACAAACCAACTTGTCTCCAAAAGAAATAAAGCAACTAAACTTGTGTTCACAAAGTACTTGCAGTATCCAAAGCACCCTTCATAGGACACTCCATCCAACCCATCAACATAAATTACAGGGACTAAAGATTTTATGAATTCGACCACAAAAAGAGGAGTAACCATAAGCCCAAACAAAAATACAAAAGACAAACTGCTTTCCAAAAATGCAAGAACAAAACTTCTTCACGAAATAGAGCACAACTACACTAGTTACAAAATCTACAGCAAGTGACTTTACGTACCAAAATACAACAACCAAACCCTTAAGCGACAGCAACCGCTCTTGAACCCTTCACTGGTGGAACAACTTGTCCTTGAGTTACGACGAGTCATCGAAAATAATCTTTAAAGTAAAATTTTGTTGTCGTAAATGGGAATGAAGTACTTGTTGTAAGAAAGATCGAGATAGATATCGGCTGTTTACAAACTGGAATTGTTTGTGTGTGTCGCCATGTTGAATCATATGAAGCGTTACGGAACAAAAGAGCTATTGTATGATGATGATGGTGGAAACCTTATAAAGTCATACGAGCCAACAGTTGGCGCCCCCAAGAAATTCGAGCACTAATTTTGCTTTTCTTTGACTAAACTTTTCATACATTTCGGTTCTTATTTCCAAATTTTGTCACGCATCTTCATAGTACAAGACGTTTTTATCATTTTAACGACAAATTGTTCTACCTTTGCGATGGACGAGCATCCCATCCAGGGGGGAGTAGTGATACTACTAGTCGCTTCATGGTAAAGAAACCGGGATAAGCTTCGGCTGAGTGGGCCACTTGGCCCGAGTAAAGCTACTTTCCTTTTATTCTACCATTGGAGGTTTCCTTTAACAAAATGAAGAGCAATTAACTCGTCTTCATAAAAAAGTGCCACCAGACATACTTCTACAAATTACACCAAAAAGCTTTGCTCACAAAAAGTACAGCTACTGAATAAATCTGCGGAAAGTACGGATGAAAACAGTGAACCAACATTTTTCAACAAGAGTTTTACAACTAAACTATCAAACCCTCAGAAAAAGAGAGGACAGGAGCCATAAGTTAAGAAGGAACCAAAGCTTTTTACAGTACGTAGAGTTATACTGTGAAGCTGTCTATAAAATGTACAGAGACCAAAATTTTGCACCAAATCTACGGCAACCAACGTAGCCAACAGCAATGTAAGGTCCCACCAAAAGTATAACAACCAAACATGTTGATATACAGTGAGTATATCAACAAAAGTTTCCAAAACTTTAACTACCAAACTAGCTCAAAATTATAACGTATAGCCTCAGTTTGAAGTTGTCTACAAATGCATGGCAACCAAAGCTTGTTTTAGAATGTAGAAACCAAAAAGTGCATATAAAGAGTTTGGGTCTGAGTCTTGAAGCGTCATATCACCCCGGATCAAATGGAACCCCAAGTTATACAATGTTATAGAAAGACCATTTTATTTTTTATCTTAGAAGTGAAATAGTGTGATTATACTTTTTACGATGCTTTCAAGAGGTAAAAATAATCCGTAAATTCGAAAAGCAGGGGACGTTTGCGCTATTTAACTTAACCAACTTTGTTTACAAAGACAGAAAACAACAGCAAAACGTTAATACTGTAAGCGATATTACGAGATACTCCGAGACGAAAGAGACCATCATAATCTATGAGGTGACGATGGTAAATCCAGAACTCGTTGAAATTGAAGTGAAATAATGTTCTCTCTGCAAATATCGTCTGAACAACAGCAAGCGTTTTTTCTGAGCTTATTTGATTTGGTTGCCGGTTGTTTGTCTGACTGAATGGCCGGTTAATTGATCGAGTGGCTTACTGACTAACTGATAGACTGACCCAATGGCTGACTGGCCAACTGTTCGCCTGACTGTAGTTGGTCTGCAGATAGATGTTCATTAAAGCTGCTGTTGGCTCCTTGGAGTGAGAATTTAATTACGGCAGTGACTGATATATACACAATATACAATACAATTTGTTCGCCATTCAAAGAGTGACATTATCACAAATATCATAATATAATTATAAATTTAAGGTGGAGTACATTACCAGATAAACAAGTTGACAATACCTTTTAAATAACGATATTATAATGGATGCAAGACAGCCTTCAGAAACCAGGGGCTTATATTTATCGTTGAATGCGTAATGCAATTCACTTAGCGATCTTTCAAATATTTATTGCAGGTTCCCCGCCAAAGGTTTGTTTACAAGCTGAGTAGACACTCAAGCAACATTGAACCAGAAATGAGCGCTTCTCGCCGATCTAAATCATCACCATTTGACAGCCACGCTGGATTCTCTTCCGTAAATTCGTTAAGCTCCACTATTTCGCCTGTGGGGAAGTCGTCGCACCAGTCAGTCATGCCTCTGTCTCACTGTCCTCACTGCCTATGTCCAAGGTTTCTATCTGCAACTAAATCGAGTGGAGGTAACGGAAGGATAATGGTTAGTGGGCGCCCATCACAGAAGGAAGCGGATTTACCTCTTCTTCCAGCTTCGGCGCGTTCAATCCCCGTATCCGTCATTCAGAGGATCAGTTTTTTATGAAAGACTCAATTCTTACAATAACCAACGTATGACTAATGTTCTTTAGCCGAAACTTTAACCCTCTTGATGAAATTTTGCAGTAAACAATCGTAATGACTAAAAAATTTTTTTAAAATAATAAATAATAAATTTAATTTCTTCACGTATCTCGTTACTTTCTCATCGACATCCTGAGCAATATTACTTTAATCCTTAAACTCCAGCGTCATATTGCAAATTCTTCATACTGTTACCTATAAATTTCCTGAGAATTTGTCCGACAATCAAGGGCTTCTTGAGTTTACAATCATTTCCTTTATTCTCACTCCGCATTGCTTGATTCAGGTTTGATGTTGTTGGGAGAAGTTGGATGCTTATCGTTCTTAGGGGTTACAAGCTTTCGTTAACCTTATATGAAGAGGGCCACCTCCGCTGATCATGAACGTAGATGTTCCTAGATTTTTGGAGCAAACTATTTTCACCCTATCAAGTTACTAGTTAGATGAGCAATGTATTTATTTTTTAAACACCCCCGCCCGTGTTTTTCCTGGTACAATAAGCCATGAAAGTGGGTGCACTAAGTAAGAAGTCTTTCGAATTAGTGTTCCTCAGTTTAGTGTCGTATACGTCACACGGTGTGTCTCAAGTTCATTTTCAGTCATTAAAAATATTAATTGCTTCTCTTAATGTTGTTGATTCACATTTTGATCTTAATGTGATTTTTGAATCATGCATTTGCGCCCTTGAGGAAAGATCTCGAGAAAAGCTACGCTTTTTCACCTTTTTATCAAATGGTTATTTCAATGACTACCATAATTTTAATGATTACCAGAAGAAACGTTGGAGACACACGTCACGGTGGAGCCAGAGTCACGCTGTCTCGTACCACTGTCTAGTTGAGCCGGCTTCTTAGCTCACCGACCTTAAAACTTTTGTTGGATCAGTTAGCACTCTCATCAGGATCCGTATAATCACGAAAGTGTCGGCCGAATATTTCGATTGAGGTGAGTTGATAAATACAAATTTAAAAGTAAGGAATGAGGTTTTTTACGTAATAAGTTTGAATGAAGCTAGTTGAGCCGGCTAGGTAACTCACCGGTCTCAAAATTTTTGTGGGATCATTTAGGACTCTTATTAGGATCTGTATAGTCACGAAAGTGTCGGCCAAATACTTCGATTGAGGTGAGTTGATAAATACAAAAGTGAAAATACGGGGACGTAGGGATGTAGAAAACGTTCGAGTTCGGCAGGAGGATTCAAACGCCAAATTTTCCGATTTCCGCGTTCTGATACTCAACCTTTTTATACATACAAACTTGTTTGATTAGTGTCCTGCATACGGCTAGGCAAGGATCGGGGTTGTCGAAAGCGTGGTTCTCGATGAAAAAGTTATGTAAATTAGTTCTACCGTCTACCCATCTCTGTTGAGTCTCTGAGAGGTTTTTCTCTATCCATGATTGGCCGAGTGTAAATTATATGAACTAAGAGACTTTAGTTTAGCTGTCAGTAAAATATTTTCAAGAGAATCATACCTATAAAATTGGAGGAAACACGTTTCTAAACAGGAGAGGTTACAGTGGAACCTTTTTGTTATTCTAAAACAAAGCCGCAGTCCCTAAGGTAATCTTTTGTTTCCGCAATCGTTTTATTTGTCCGTAAATTGAATGCTCGATGAACGACAGTTCCTGAGAAAACTTCCGTCAAGACGTCAAAATCTTAGCATAACAATTCTAAAGTGGTCGCTCCTGTATTTCTGAATGATTCAGGTCAAATATTGATATTATTACCATAAAACTAATTTGTTAAGTCTGCTCAAAATTCGAAAGTTAACAAGACCAGCTTGTGTTTACATATATACATACATGTACACCCGGTTTAAGAAACATTGCAGATTGGAAAAACATATCTTAAATTTACATTCTATTTCTTTTCATGAAATAGTTGATGGACCATGCATGTATATTCCACATCTAAGGAGTAATACCTTATCTGTTATTGTTTAAGCTCACTGTGAATATCAATGTTCTTTTACACTACTGAATTTTACATCGTAGATAAAACGACAAAAGAACAAATTAGAATGAAAAAAGCTGCAGCTTTTCTCTTTTACCCATCAATTCCTGCTCTTCTCAATGTTTGCTGCATTATAATAGCTCTGATATTCGCTGCTGTATCATACAGCTATACTTATCCCTATGATTTATTCTGTCAGCACCTTTTTAATTGAAAAAGGAAAGGAATATTTATTTTATCTATATTTTCAAATTGAAAAACTTTTAAAAACAGGTGTATATATATATATATATATATATATATATATATATTTATATATTTGTATATATATACATTCAGATGTATAGGTTTCAAAGGAATATATTTCAAATACACCTTGCCTAGACTTAAACTCAGAGACTATTGGATAATTTTTTGCAGTTCTTTGGGCGAACAATTTCTGATTTCTAAATGTAAGTCCAACTGAGGTACAGAACCTAAATGTTACGTTTATTGTGGCACCAGAGAGATGGGCAACTATTAGACAGCTAATCATATAACCAATATATCAATGGAACCTTACTCATAGGTTACATAATCCAAATATTTTTCTATTTCTCAATACTCTAGGAAAAACATTATCGTAATGAATCAACAAAAAGAAGTTCCTTTCACCAGAAGAGCTCTGAAGAGAGTTAGTGAAGCTAACTCAAAGGAATATGAATTTTCTATTGTCACCTACAACATCCTTGCTGATTATTGGATACAACAGAGTTCAGGGAAAGAAGACTCTTACAACTATTGCCCAAAGGAATACATGATCAGAACAAATGGAAGAGCCTCACATCGTCATGTACTGCTTATGGCTGAGGTACAAAAAGCAGTTTCAATTTTTAATATTTCTTGACCCACAGAGAGCTAGTTATCTTGGGCAGACTACTATTAATTCCTTATGAAGTAAATACTTAGTAAAACCTCGCAGAATACCAACAAAATAATACTACAAATGTTAGAACATAATTTTTTATGCTGTAGTAGAAAGTTACTCATGTTACCTCATGATTTTAAGTGTGAAAATTTTGAGCACTTTGTTATAGCTCTTGATGTCTTTCAAAGGTGTGTGCATGTATAGAATGTGTCTTCATGTACATGTATTTCAAAGATTGTGATAGCAGGGTGACTTGGGTTGCTAGTCTTAATTAGAAAGGAATGAAAAGGGACTGCATGATACAGGATCCTGGTTTTTTCAAATATTTGAAGGTTTTCTGATGAAACCCACCTTACAACCATAAAACACAGTTTACACAACTTCTTTTAAATTTATGTGCAGTTATTTTGTTTCTTTACAACTTTGTTTATCTAACACCCCATCTTTGGTACCATATTTCTATGTTAGTTTCACTTTGTTTACAAATTATATAAATTTCCATCTATTGAGGTACTTATTGGTTTTGTGTGTTTCTGTGTGCTGCTCCTCATTGTGATGCATGCATTTAATGTTTTTCATATTTTACATTTAACACTTTAACTCCTATGTGTGACCAAAATAGAATTTCTCCTTACAATATTATCACAATATCAAGCAGACAAGTGATGAGAATAAAGAAAAATATCAGTTAGGGGATTGTAAATTGATCTAATACCAAATTCTCCAAACTAACATCACAAAAACTGTATGGCAGACAGTAAGGAGAATTACTAATGAGATCTTGGGGGTTTAAGGGTCAATATTTTGTTTATTGGATAAGGCATATATTGCACTAAATGCCTGTTTTGAAAAACAAATTCTAATCATTTATGTACTAGTGAGTCAACATTTTCACCAGTCCTACCTGGTCCTGCGTGTGTCTAAACAATTTTTTCTTTATTATTTAGTTAAGATGGCTTGACAGTGATATCATCTGCTTGCAAGAGGTTGATACATCTTACTTCAATGAGATTCTGAAAGAGGAATTATCTGAGCTGGGTTATGAAGGTCTTTTTGCAAAGAAGTGTATGGGGATCCCAGAAGGGGAGGCATTGTTTTTTAAGAAGAACAAGTTTTACCTCCAAGAAACAAAGACAGTTTATTTGAATGACATGGCAGAGTGCACCTTTCAGCATACTGAGATACCTCTGTTTTGGGAGGTTGCATTACTTGCTACATTGAGGCACAAACTTAGTGATTCTCTTCTAGTATTGTGTAAGTTATTTATTTGAATTCACGAAAATATGATATCAGCATAAATCATATGAGAATAATTACATTTAAATATATAATAATAACAAGAATAGCCTTTTAATGGTGACTGATATTTTAACTGATACAGATAGGAGTTGTTGCATGTATGCATTTCTCGGTAATTGTGAAGAACAGCTCCCCTCAGGACAGATTGCTGACAGCTGGCCAACAGATTACCAACATTCGGCCAACAGATTACCAACAGTCAGCGGATAGATAACCAACAGTCAGCCGACTGTCAGTGAGGGGAGCTGTTCTTCACAATTACCCATTTCTCTTTTCAGTTCCATTCAATCTAAAGTCATAGAACTTTTTGAGAGCATTGGAAAAACTGGACTGTGGGAATAGAATTTCATTTGTTTAAAAGTTGTTGGTTGAATACATTTTTTAACCTTCATCTCTAATGTTTCTTTCCTGTCAGGGCGTATTGCTTTTAAAAATTGTAATAAAATTATCATGTTGATAACTTGAAACTGTTAGATGTGCAGTAACATAAATACAAGGTGCTAAGAATGAGTAAATGATCATGAACATAGATTGAATAATCATTATGGTAAAGGTTTCTTTAACCTCATAAGTTTCACTTAACAATTTTGCACAATTAAACTATAAATATAGAATCGAGGTATTCAATAGTAAATTTACATCTTCTAGATAAAGCACTGTACATATATGTGGCTTTTCACTTGTAGCATAAAAAATTTCCTACCTTTTGATCTTAAAGAGGGAGTAATAATGATGAAAATTATGATAAAAATGATGACTGTCACAATTAGGTAATTAGATCTTTGGGGAACAGCCTCTCTATGGTGGATCAGTCTTTTCCGGCAAAATGTTAAGAAACATGTGTATGTACATTAATTTTATTTGGTTGTAAACTCTAGTTGAATGGAAATGTTATACTATTTTGTTATACTGAAATCTGTGCCAGGTGTACATCTACATGTAATATACAAGTTGTACCAAGTACTGACAACATCCTTTCCTTTTGCCTTCCCCAGTGATAGCCTAATTAATCCCCTCTTTTGCTTTAACCTTGAAGGTGTAACACATATACGATGGGGAGATTTGAAAGAAACTGTTTCCCAAGTTTGTCAAATAGCAATGGTCACCAAAGCCCTTTATGATATGGTTTCATCACTGCAGGAGTCTGACGGTAATAGAGTGGCGCACATTCTTTGTGGAGACTTCAATATTGAGCCTCAATTTCCTGCCTACAAGCTTCTGGCAGAGGGAAAACTGACAGATAAAGAGATCAACACTCTGAAGGGTTATGATTACATAAGATGGGGTCGCAACACATACATGGAGAAAACATTGCAGGTATGGGGTAGTACATGAATCTAAATTGCACAAACCATGAAAATGTCTCACTGAATTCACTAATTACTGCATAAAGTAGAGGAATTGTAAATTCAGTTGGTAGATATCAGATTTTGTTTGTAAATGTCTTACTTGGGCTCTCAATTCAAAGAAACTCTGTCTTAGGCACCAAACCTAACAAGCAGAAAAAACATAAGCAGCCACATTAGTGACCTATGGTGATTTTGGGCATTAAATGACCTCCCTAGAAATTCGTCTCATTAGCAGCCTTTAAGAGAAAAATTGAGTCTTCAAAAAGTGTAAAGTTGTGTTATTCATTCTATTGCAAGAAACCTTTAATACCACGATAAGTATTATGATACTATCACACATGTGTTTTACAATACAGCTGTTACCGGATCAAGTGTCACTTTTACACAAGACTGAGGCACAACTCAAAAATCCACTTGTCAACTTGCAAAGTGCCTACAAGAGCATAATGGTAAGTCTGTAAAAGTAATGGATAAATAATAGTTATTAAATGAATGTCAACAATTACTTTACACAACTCAGTTGATTTTTGGTTATTGAAATAAAACTTACTTGTGAAATACCCTGCCACATATCCCAGAGGATCTTCTTGTACATCAGGTTTGCTCACTCCTTAACAAGTTAGCATGTAAACATTCAACTATGACATAAACCATCAACTTCATTATTGGGACACATTTATTTTACAACATTACTTACTTAAATAAATGACAAACTCTAGGGTGCAGAACCTCAGTGTACTAACCATGAAGGACCTGAATGTGTGTGGACTCTGGACTTTATATGGTTTGACTCTAGGACTCTAGAGGTCACTGCGGCTTTAGAGACAGTTCCACCTTCTGATATTGAGCCATATACTGGCCTGCCTAATAAGTATTTTCCCTCAGATCATTTGTCACTTAAAGCATACTTCAAGTTTGCCTCTATGAAAAACAAGAATGAGTTTTAACATAGATCTTGCATGAAGTAGAATATTGTGTCGAAATATAGAGGGATTGTGCATCTGAATTTTCTCACATTTTATAATGAAGAGGCAGATATTTTAAATTTTAACAGGATCAGGCTAATTTTGTGTTAGCTTTGGTTTTACTTGATATACACTGTGTTGAAAATCAGTTTGTTTCTTGCACGATTGTCGTTAAGTGAGAAAATATTAAGCACAATTTGATTAGATCTTAACTGATGATACTTTTAGATATTATAATTCAACAATAATTACTAAATGAACCTGATGTAAATAAGATGATAAAAGTCAACTCAAGAGGATTGCAGCCAAATTGAATGTATCTATTTTTTAGCTAGTGCTTTTGATTCGCTGTCCATGTTTCCCAACATCCCTTCTTTGTCTATTCCATATATTCAGTGTTTCCTAAGCATTCTCAGCATTTGCATAAATTTGGTTTTATTGGACTTTTTACTTTCAATCCGCGTCGGGAAATGACGTATTCATCGTGAACTAAGGCCAACCTCACTAAATCTATCCACGGAATAGACTTGACCTGAATTTGGTAGCTGGCACTTAATTTCTCTATTACTGGCGAGTGTTAGGGAGCGGCACCACTTCTCATTACAACCCAAAGAAAATTCAGGTTTTCTCGCAAGATAGCAAGCATACGCAGTTGGTCGGTTTTCATTGTCTGGGATATTCATGCTTTCGATGACGTCATGTAGAATTGCACGTGGATTCGGCTTTGTTCTAGTTTCTCAAAATTTTGTCACGAGACAAGTACAAGCACAAAACGCCTTAAGCAGATAAAGAGTAAAATTAGTCAGGATTTACGATTTGGTTGAACATTTTAGAGTGTCAAAAGTTTACTTAATCAATAGTTAATTATTTACCTAGTTTAAAAATCAGTACTACTGAAATACTAATTAAGAAAAAAAGAAAGTTCTTGATTCATAATAACAATAACGAAAAAATTAGCATAGACCTTGTCAAAAAAATAAGTAAACAATTTCTTGCGAAACACTGATAAGGTGTTAGACTCCCTAATGTTAGGAGTTAGTAAGTTCATTCCATGAGCAACAAACCCGAATGAAAAATGAATTCTTAAAGATTATGTTGGAATAAAAGGGACATTACGTGTAAGGTAAGCAACCGCATTTCTTAAAGGCTTGTTGCAAAATCGAAAATCTTATATATATATATATATATATATATATATTATCAAAACATTTAGAAAAGAATACTACTATGATGTAGTAAAGGTTAAGAAATATAAGTTGCTAAGGCGCTCGTGCTCAGAATACTCCTTGCCGAGAATTCATGGCCATGCGCTGAATTTGTACTAAGCTGGTAATATTTTTATTAGTGTATGGCGACCATACCACACTGGCATATTCTAGACGTGACCGCACCCAATTGATGTAAACAAAATTTTTTAGTTCTAATTTTAGTTATATCTTGCATGCATCCTTTGAGCTCAGGAGGAGGTAATATCAACGTGATGATAAATCGTGGCTGATCAAAATACCCAGATCCTTTTTAGTTTCTCCATGAAAATAATCCCTCTCAGAAATACATTTCTTACGTACTACCCTTAGAACCTTACGTTTTTTGACACTGAACTCCATTCTCCAAATGCGTGACCACTCCATTAGCTTATTCAAGTCTGCCTGTAATTTATTGCTATCATCTTGGCCGATAATTAGGCTAAAGTAACCTCAAAATAGCTAGGGAACCAGAACAAATTTTATCTTTCTGTGTCGATGAGCTGCTGACAGCGTCTAAGGCACCATATTTTATGAACACATGCCTTGCTTATTGTCTTGCTCATCCTTGACTTTCGCGGCAAGCTCTCTTTTTTGACAAAATTACAATCGACAAGCTTCTATTTCGTTTCGTGCCGCCGTCACCTTGTCTACATTGTACCACGTGACAGGCACTTAACTAGATAAACACAGCGGTCAAACGTCGGCCATGCCCAAGGGAATAAATTCTGGCCAGAAGTTTTTAAAGGAAAATATGATAAAACAAACGCCGTTCCGCAAAATAAGCAAATCTGTAAAAGGAAACTTAAGGAGGTAAACGGAAACGCGAGTGTGTTGTTAATTGACCTTTCTGTTGGGAGTTTTGCCATAAAAGTTATAAGCTTTAAAAACACCGCAACTTGCTGACTTGTGTGGTTTTTCTAACTCGTGTGAAACTTGGTTCTAACAGTCTGAAAGCACTCCACCGAGCCAATTCAACATTCACACATAGGTGGAGACGTTTGATTGGCGTTAAAATTTAAGAAATCTGGGCCAATGATGGTCTCCGTCGAGAACCAAGGAACTTTTCGTGTGGATTGTTTTGTTTTATTTACATTCACTTTGCTCATATATTTCGGCTAATTTTGATGCGCGTCAGAATAAAATGTCTGCAATAGCGTTTATTATTTATTTTATGTTTTGTTTGTTTTTATATTTTCCGGGTTATCCTAACCAAAAATTATCTTAGGACTTTTCCGGTTAAATTCCTTACCGAACTGAGAACAGATTTTTCAGATCATAAGTCAGGTTTAAAGTCTCATTTTTCTTCTTGACGCAGAAGTTTCCTTCTTTAATACATTTCAAGTTATTAAAAGAAGGAAACTTCTGCGTAAAGACGCAGAAGTTTCCTTCCCTTCCCTCCCTTTCCCTTAACGCAGAAGTTTCCTTATTTAATACATTTCAAGGTATTAAAAGAAGGAAACTTCTGCGTAAAGAAGAAATGAGATTTTAAACTGACCTATGCTCTCTAATTAGAACCTCATATGGGCCACTCACTTCCCATATTATTTTCCTTCGTCTCGAGGTTATGATAGGATCTATGCAAGTCGGGACGTTATTTTTTATTTCCACCGCAAATGACAAGCTATAAGAAGTTATTCTCAACGAACACCTGTCCGCAAATGGCTCTATCAGGAAACTTAAATTTGAGTTCATTCCATTCTTTATATGTTAAAATGTATGTGCCTTCACCACTTGGGATAGTTTGAGTGTTATAAAATTATAGCTCATTAAAAGGAAAAGAAATTCCATGACATTTTATCATCCTTAGTAGAACCATTTTGCATGTGATACAGAATGTTTTGGCGAACGATATTTTACCAATTTTTTGAATTTTAAATCGTATGGGAATCAAAACTTAAAAGTTTTCTCCTTTCCTATACGATTTGCAAAGGCTGGACATAAGATTACATTGAAATTTAAACTGATTACGGATGAACTCGTTGGATTTTGAAATGTAGAATAAGGAGGAAGATTAGAGTTTCTGCTCACACGCAAAAATAAGATGGTGGTATCAAAGCTAACGAAGAAAGATAATTTTCATGCGGTGATTATGAATGCAGTAAACAAAAGGACTTCGAGCCCCTTTTAAAATCTTTATGTTACTTCCTTTCAAGAGATCACGTACTACGGGATGACTGCTGTGTAAATTCCATGTGGTAGTAGGGGAAAACTCGATAAGATCCCTACATGATAAGTTGTGACATTAAGGGAAGATATAGTAAAAATGTAAAGTGGTCCATGCATGCACGCACCGATTTCAACGATTCAGAGTAGAGGAAGAGGTTGCACGTTAGAGTCATCGTTTAGAAGAGTAAATGATACTACGAGTTCGTCAAGTAGATGAGGGGCACGGAATAGAATGGAGTTAATATTAAATTCAATGTTTAGTCGACAAACGTTGACTTCAGGACTGCATACCGCTGGCTAGTATGTATCGAATCAACTCAGTTAACATAGGAAAAGGTTAATCTTTATTCCGAAAAGAAAGAAGCACCCAGACTTGTCAATCTTATTCCAGTCTTATTAGAGACAAAATTTGGAAAGTTTTTCTAGATCTAAGAGCATAACTTTCATGTGCTAAATTCTCATGGATGTTTTTTTTAAAGCTTGTACTTTTGGTTTTTTGATATGAACAACTGACATCGCGCACGTAAATCACGCATATGATTACGATGACTCATGCAATGATAATACACATGAGAGAGAAATGGTACTTATCGGTATTCTCTTGGATGTTTGAGGGATAATAAGTCAATGAACGTTTCAGCCCAAAAGCTTCAGAGGGTCTCGTGACTATGACGTCTGTTTATGACTCAGCCATTGTAAGACGTCATAAACACGCAGGTTCTAAAATGTTTTGATTAGCAAAACGCAAAAGATGTAAAGCATCACTAAACTAGAGATAAATAAATTGATGTGACTTTACCAACCTTTTTGAAATTTAACTTAAATTTTTATCTTTTCTTTCCTTAAGTTCCATCTCGTATTTCATTTGAAAATGTCTCTGTACTCTCAGCAAAGTTGTGTCTCTCTATCTAGGTGTTTGATTATGCGGGAAGTTATTTAAAGAAACTGAATTGTCTTTTTTATTGGATGACGTGAAGGATGACTCCAATGTTTGGGAGTTTCTTTGTGTCATTATATTAAAACATAGACGTTCTGATCTTAAAAACCAATTTCGCACGGTTCGATCTATTTTAAAGAGATATTGCAGTCGGAAAGAGACAAACAGTTTTTAATAATTTCTCAGCATTTAAGGAGCTATATGCGTTACAATATGGTGTCGTTTCTGCAAAGAAGAGGAAGAATTTTTGATTTTGTTACACTGACACGACTTGAAAAAGGGTTAGAATTTACTAGTGCATGATTGCCTCCTTAGATGGACATACCCGATTCGTCTCTCCCATGCAAATTGGGCTAACCTCTAGACAAGTCATAGAACATCGCGTTCGAAGTTCCTCTGTCAAAGAATCAAATTTCATGTTAGCGGGACTTCAAATGTGGTGTTTAACAATTTAGCCGAGCGATGTCACCAGAGGTTATTACAATTCTTTCTTAAGCAGGAGGTCAGGGTCAGCTCCTATGGAAGTAACGCAGGTTAACATCTAAGAGCATAGGAGTCAACATAGGTCTAGCTGTGAAAAAAACTGATTATTTCATCACAATTTAACTGATTGTAAGCAAATTATATGTCGAAAACAGAAGGGTAAGGCCTCTTCATTAGTTTGGATGCCTTACTAAGCCTTATACGAAACATTAAGTCTTTTTTTTGCAACGAAGAAGGTAAGATTCCTAATTTCGTTATATACCAATAAGAACTTTGAAAAAGCGTAAAATAAATTCATTACATAATTATTTTGCATACTTATGTTTCGTCAACGACACCAATTGCAAGCGACTCAGGCTGACCGACAGACGAATCACATTCAAGTCCCACTGGCAAACGGGAAACGTCACATTTTTATGCTATGGGATTTCGAAAACGATGCTTTACTCTCTTCATTAGAGATGACGTCTTTGACAACGCATGCTAAATGAAAAACTACTGAAATACTCTGGTTGATAAACAGTTTGGAAAACATTCAGCTGTAAACCCTCCCTAAATGAAGAGGGTAAATTACATTATATGCAGATTTACGTATACATTGACAGCTAACCCTGAGCTGTTCTACTTCAAACAGAACTCTTGAAAACCACTTTTGGCTGATGGCGACTTTCTGTCGAAAATATGCATATTCAACTTTTCATCATTATTCTTCCAAGAGTTTTTCTCGCACTTGATGTTAATAGGATAACTTGAGACACCAATTTGTATCGTATTTCCGACTTTTCAAGCAAAACCCTGAAAACGTATGAAAACTAACCGCTATTGAGTGCAAATAAGTGATGTTGATGATGAAAAATTGTGAGTAAGTATTATGACGCATCAAAACAAAAAGTCTGTCGATTACAACGGATGTGCGTCAGAAAATTATGACGTTTTTTCATTTCGCGATCACTGGTCTATTTGATAACGTCATTGAAAACGTTCAGCGGAAATATAAATTGATTCAATATATAATTTCTCAGTCTGTTGACCCCAAAATGAGTGTATTAACACGAGGTTTAATATCACACGTAAGGTATGGTAAATGAGTATTTGTCGTTGTGGTTCACCAAAGTTTTTCAAGGCCGTGGTGAGCAAATTTCGATGTTTATAAACCTTCACTTGCAAAGAATGACGAAGAAATGTATTTTATTTGAAGACACACGCACTGACCATGCGTGACGTCAAGGTATCAATTCTAATTACTAATTATCATAGCCTAATGTTAATTTCACTTTTCTTTATTATTGTGGGA